AAAGGGGGGGGGGGGGGATATTTCAGATGATTAGAGTTGCGTTGCAAGACCGAAATCCTTTCGGCGCGCAAAAATTAGGGAGAGGGGATATTTATAAATCAGATTATTAGAGTTTGAAGAAATATTGCGAAGAATATCACTACGTCGACTCGCCATCAGATGTCTATCGATATTCGCAAATTCTCGCAAGTGCTAAGATACGCGTATATCTCTTTATATAGAATCTCGATTTAATAACTTACCAAGGTGTATAAGGTAGGCTTCCACTACAATGCCTTACTGATGAGTCCAGTAATGGAAGCCGGGACGAAACGCCAAACATTACGTGATATTCTTCGCAATATATAATATTAGAATAAATTATCAGATTTAGATTTTAAATTGTAATTTGACTCTTATTCGCCCTATTTAACGTGTTAATTATTAAAAAATAATTTGTTTATAAAAAATAGTTATAAATAATTCAGAGACCTATTGTTTTATAATGTACCCACGATTTTTTAACGCGGGGGAATAAATAGGTAACAACCGCTCAAGGTATAATCACGAAATCGTCATTTTTAGCGAGATATGGGGCCAAAAATGATGAAAAATCTATTTTTTAATTATTTGACTATAATATTTTTTTACGGACAATCAATGGGTTGTAGACAAAAATGTGAAATAACCAATCAATATATAATATTAGAATAAATTATCAAAATTAGATTTCATATTGTAATTTGACTCTTATTCGCCTTATTTAACGTGTGAATTAGTTATAAACAATTCACAGACCCATTGTTTTATAATGTACCCACGATTTTTTAACGCGGGGGAATAAATAGGTAACAACCGCTCAAGGTATAATCATAAAATCGTCATCTTTTTGCCAGATATGAAGTCAAAAATGCTGAAAAATCAATTTTTCAATTATTTTTAACTTAAATATTTTTTTACGGACAACCAATGGGTCGTAGACAAAAATGTGTAATAACCATTTTTGCTTAAAATCACCCAAATAATACAAACAAATTTTTTTTTGAATCGAAAATCGAAAAAAAAAAACAATTTTTTGTTTATAAAAATTGTTATAAACAATAGTAGGCCCCATTTTAATGAAAAGTACCCTCGACATTCGGATACAGCGGGTCAAAATACGTATAATAAGACTCGGTACAACCGTGAACCTCAATCGGCCACGAACCCTTATGGCTGGCCCCCGTACTAAAAGGTGAGAGGGAATGTGTTAAAAAGTTACATATTTCGGACGGACAGACATACAGACAGACAGAGGAGACGTTTCTTAATTTTTCATTAAAATCACCACTTTTCGACCGCTTGTATCTTCAGAACGGCTTGACCGATTTTAAATTTTTTTGGCTCAAATTACTCGTGGCGATGCCGCCTTTCAGGGCATATAATGTTCGATTCAAAATATTTTTTATTTTAGTAGTTATGCACCTCCCAAAAATGGACTTTGGTGACTCGGGATAAGAGACTTGTAGTGTCTCTCAATTTTTGAACATGGCCGGAGACACTACCGCGTCTCCTGATTAAAAAATTGGTAATACTGTCAATACAAGATATTTTGTATTTTATACGCACACACATATACAGGATGTGGCATTTGAAACCCAAGTAACTCGCTTGTTTTTAATAGAAGGAAAAGTATCAAACAAAAGTTGCTTGGTTTCGAGGGGCACATAATAATGTGATGTCAATAATTGTTTTGTAGGTGGAGGCGTAAAGGATATAGCAAACATCAAATCTGTTTTTTTAAATGAAATGATATGTTTTTTACTTATATTCTGATAGAGCATTTTAAGACGAATACAATGACCTATAATTAAAGGTCATTCAAGGTTACGCAAGATCAATAATGGAATATAATTGAATGGAAAATAAATTGTTTCAAGGCACTCTTCGAATAATTTTGGTGTCTTCTTTGCTTGTTGGTATACTGTTAATCATTCAAGTGTATCACGGTATGTAAATAAACGCACATAGCCAGTGCCATATTAGGATTAGAGCCTAATCTAGATTAGGGGGCGGAAATTTTTTGAAAAAAAGTTCTAAAAGAGTAACGATTTTTTGCCACGCGAATGATTGAGAAAATTTTCCATCGATCACTAGAGGTTTGTTCACGTCGCATGCTCGTAATATACTCATATTATAGCTCCAGTGCCATATTAGCATTATAGACTAATCTAGGCTATTCTTTAGGGATGACAAATTAGGGAGCGACAAGAACCTTAATCCGACCCTACATTATCTAGCATTATCCATATTTACTGATCAGTTTGAATTTATCTATCGATCGAAGTACGTGTCTTGCGAAATATATAGATTAGTAGATTATCATAGATGAAAATCATATCAACTTTTTTCCGCTTTTGTATAACGTATTTCACAAGATACGCACTTCGATCGATAAATAAATTCAAACTGATCAGTAAATATGGATAACGCTATGTGTGATTCAATGTTTATTTACATACTGTGATACACTTGAACGATTAGCGATATACTAACAAGTAGAGAACATGAAATTATTCGAAGAGTGCCTTGAAACAAATTTATTTTCCAATCAAATATTTTCCATTATTGACCTTGCATAACAATTTATAATTGAATGACCTTTATTTAGAGGTCACTGTATTAATCTTAAAATGCTCTATCAGAATGTAAATAAAAAAAATCATTCCATTTAAAAAAACAGATTTGACCTTTGCTTATCTTTTACACCTCCATTTACAAAACAATTATTGACATCACATTATGTGCCCCTCGAAACCAAACAACTTTTATTTGACACTTCTATTATTAAAAACAAGCGAAACATTCAGATAACCTATTTTAAATGCCTGACCCTGTATAAACACTTGCCACAAGGTTGTGTCTTAAAAGCCCTCTATTCTATTCTTTCTACATTTCGGAAATTGATACTATCATTAACAGTGTCTATTTTTCAATATGCGAACAATGTGGTACTTTTCGCCAATTCTTTCTGTTTGAAGAGGGATCTATTTAAAATAAAGAAAGATCTCTTGTTCTTACATTCAAATTGCTAAGAGACTTCGAATTGGATCTATTCCTTCCTAAGATCTATGCATCTATAACAAGAGGGATTTCTTCCGAAAACAACCTTTGCTTCACATTACTGTTTAGGGCTTGTAGAGAGTTCACAGAAGGTTACGTGTTTTTTTAAGAATAAGTTATAATCTTGATTGGGTCAGGTTAACTACAACTATGCTTAAAAGATGCGAAAGCTCGATGAAGGTACTTAAGTGTTTAGATGGTACCTAGTGGGATGACAACCTCAGGATATTTTTTAAAAAACATGAAATAACTTTAATATAACTTAAAAAAATTCAGGACATTTTTTGCATTTATCAGATTTTTACATAAAGAAGTATTTTAAAAAATGCATATTTATACTTTCTTCATATATTGTACGGTTTAGCAGCTATTTCAAACGATTTACTAAACAAGTCTTATGTGAGTTCGCATGTATGTAAATATAAAAGTAGTTTAGTTTTAAAATATTTTACTATATATACGTTGTGCGTGTGCGTGAGTGTACTACACACATACAACATACATACAGTTAAGATATTTAAAAACTAACCATATTCTATTAGGTGCTTGAATTAATTCTCGCTGTTGATCGGGAGAGGTCAGTATATATGCTGTTTCAACATGGCCGAAAGTGATTGTTTATGTACATGAAAATACTATATCAATAGGCTTTAATAATCAGTATATAACATTTGATCGGATGCGAAGAACACAATTTTTTATCATATTAAAAATGTCGGGTTTCGTATTAAAAAAAAGCATTTGCGGGAAGCGTTACTTTTCTGTTTTAACTTCAAGAAATTTGCTGCTGCAAGTCATCATTTGCTAGTCGAAGCTTATAAGGAGCATGCTCTATTTGAAACAACTTGCAGAGATTGGTTTAGAAGATTTAAAAATAACACAATTTTGACGTGAATGACAAAGAGCGTCCCTGGTCAATCGAAAAATTTGAAGATGGAGAATTGGAGGCATTACTTCAAGAAGATTCATGTCAGACGCTCAAAGAGTTATCGGAAACATTAAATATCGATGTGTCAACCGTTAGTAAACGTTTAAAAGCAATGGGAATGATCCAGAAGTTAGGAAATTGGGTCCTACATGAATTGAGACAAAGAGACATTGCGAAACGTTCAGCCATTTGTGAATTGCTGCTCCAAAGACAAAAACGGAAGTCGTTTTTGCATTGAATTGTAACTGGAGATGGAAAATTGATTTGTTACAATCCTAAATGCAAAAAATCATGGGTGCGTCTCGGCAGACCATCAACATCAACGCCAAAACAAGATATTCATGGAAAGATCATGCTGTGCATTTGGTGGGATCAAGTCGATTGTGTACTATGAGCCGCTGCAACCATTAATGCTACCGACGTCAATTACTCAATTTGAATCGAGCACTCAAGGAAAAACGCTCGCAGTATGCCAAAAGACATGATAAAGTTATTCTTCTCCATAACCACGCCAGACCACATGCTGCACAACCAGTGAAGGAAATCATGGAGGCACTTGGATGGGATGTCTTATCTCACCCAACCTATTCACCAGACGTTGCTCCATCAGATTACCGTTTGTTTCGGTCGATACAGCATGGTTTTTTTAAGCACTTCAGTTCAGTTATTTCAAAGACATCAAAAAATGACTCGATGACTACATCGCCTCAAAAAAACTTGAATTTTCTACTGCAAAATCCATTTGTTACCCGAAAAGTGAGAAAAGGTTATAACTTTTGTGAATAAAATATTTATTCACAATATTGTGAATAAAATATCAGGTACCTTTTTGATAAAATAAACAGATTTTTTTTAGCAAAAAACAAGAAACAGCAAGAATTAATTCAAGCATCTAATATATTATACCAACTGTGGACACGACGATATAAATTAACATATTGTATGATCATAACATACATCATATACACACACCTCGATAACAGTGCTGATACCAGTAGGAATAAGAATAAGTAAGGAAGAATCCTCGTCGTAAAGATAAAGGAAGATCACAGTTTGACTGAATGCACGCCATATCATAGTCGATTTGCTGAGGCCTATGAGATTATTCTTCTTTCGCCAAAAGCTAACATCATTTTTAATAGCAAGGAAATCAAACAACAACTGTAAATGAAAGATGGGCGCTCTCTCTCTTTCATCTTATATTTTTTAATTTTCATAATGCATATAATATCTATACTTGTTGTACTCACGTGTACAGCTGCAATGAAGAACGTAGCACCTAATAGATAGATGTTAGTATCGACAAAGATGCCCTTTACATCATCGATATCTTTGTCGGAGAAGCCAAGATTTATTAGATTCCCCATAGTTGCCTGCACATGCAGTACTAATCTTAACTTTCCTAGCGACACAGGTGAATATTCTACTGTGATGTTCATCGTATTATTTTGTGGAATAATCCGCTGAAGATCCCGATACCGTGTTCGTAAAAAATCATAGTTTACTATTGGCAAAAATATCTGTTGTTCATGAATTATTCTGCAACAAACAAGCAAGATAATATATTTTTAAGCAATTAGGTTCTTTGGAGTATATATTGTGTTGTATAAATAGAATAAAAATATATATGTACTTTATATGGTTTATGAGCTCGGCAGGTATGCCATATCGAGGAAGCATAATGTTGTCTGTCATTATTGTAAATGTCACACGACTTTTCATGTGCGAGACTGGATGTATAACAATCTGGTTATTTGCTTCCTCCATTTTGCGGTTTATTATTAAATTAAATGCCTCTGCTTCAGATACTATGTATTGTGTCATTTCAATTGCAGTGTACGAAGTAAATCTATCCTGTGAAAATACAATTAGTAGTATAAAATAAAATGTTGGAAAGTCCAACAAATAAATATCTATAATGGGTACATATATCACATTACGTTCAGCAACTCGACAAATGTCCTGTCCTGTTTTATAAAGGAAGGCACTAATAATACATGTAAAAACAATGTTCCATTTCGCCGTGTCTCATTTGGTACAGTAAGTATCACTGGACTGCAAGAAAAAGAAAGTACATTCATTAGATTTGCAAGAGAAGTCTTCCTCAGAGATTTTCCATTTCCATTTAACGTTTTGTCTTGGATTTATGTAAATTAATTCTCTCTCTCTCTCTCTCTCTCCCCCCCCCCTCCGTATCCTACTGTCACAGAGAAAACAAGAAAGTGAAAACAACATAACTTATGTCATAACTATTAATTACTACAGGGTTGCCACAAATTTTTTACCCTAAAATTTCCTGACATTTCCCTGATTTTACTGATAGAATTTTGTAATTTTCCCTGACTTTCAATAATAAATATTTTGAAATATTTTTTGTATTTTCATCCTGATTTGAAAATTGTTAAATATTTTGTTGATCGAGTAATTTAACATAACAGTGTAATTAAATTAATGTTATAATATAATACTATTAATACTATTAATAAATAATACTATTAATGTTGCTGATACTACATTTTATCGTTAAGTTAATAGTACTTTTTGTCTTTTCCTTTCATGTATGAATATGATTCTTTTCCTCTTCCTCTCTTTCTTTTTACTACTGTAATTGAAGGAACATAAATCAATGAATATCTTTTTTATCAAAATTATGATCTGTTTATTAAAATCTCAATCTGCTTATAAAAGTTAACATATTTGAAAGAAAAATCATAAAATTATAGAATAATATTTATTTTACTCACTTGTTCATAAGTGACATAGAACTTTCTTATATAAAACAAAAGAACAGACAACTTTAAAATTTCGAAGTTTTTAGTAAAGCATTTTAAATCTTTTCAAGTTTATGTTAGCTTTTTAATATAACTAAAATTTCAAATCCTTAAAGAAAACTTAAATACTGCAACATAAAAAATTGTACAAGTTTTTTAATCGAATGTTAATGACATCAGTGATGTTATTTCTTCATCAAGAGCACTTACAATTAGTTCATTAGTTTTTCTACCAAAAGTTTTGCCTTCTTAGTCTTCAATTCTGAAATTTTTGTAAACAAAGATCTTTTTTTAGCAACCGAGTTGGCTTGAAGAACAAAGCGAAATGATTTTATCGATTGTGGCGTCGTGATATAAATTACAGCTATGTTATTTTTCCCGAAAAGTGCGCTGAAATCCCTGACTTTCCCTGATTTACTGACGCATTTTTCAAATGCCCTAACATTTCCCTGACTTGTGGTAACCCTGTACTACTATAATTTAATTTTTACAGCAACTGGCGACACACAAATATATGTAAATCATTGGGGTAGACTTCTGAAAACTTGAAGGCTCCGATTTTTTTGTCAATCGATATACAACTGTATTTTGGAGCGCTGATTACAAATATGATCATGAAAATTACAGACAAGGTCATTTCAAAGTCAAGTATAAAAAAAAATAAGATATAATTTTTCTTTAGGGAAGTCAGCTCTGATGATCTTAACATATGTCGTTAAGGTCATGATTTTGAAAGACCTCAGATTCTGTTTGCTTTATCTTTTCTCTTCCTCCTTGCTTAGGAACGCGCTACTTTACACGCGAAGCGACTTTTATCCCACCTCCTTCCCTGCCAAGGGACGAATGACTTCTATAATTATATTGGGTACTTATTATGGAACAAAGTGGAATGGATGCCGCGATCGGAATTGTTCAATTATTCCCTAGATTTCTATCGTATTTTTTTTTAGGGAAAACGAAATAATTCCGATCGGAATCCATTCCGACTTTGTTCCATGATAGGTACCCTGTTTTAACTTTCTACGCAAAGCGACTTTTACTCCGCCTTCTTCCTGCCAAGGGACGCACGACTTTCCATGTGAAACAACTCTCACCCCACCTCCTTCTCTGCCAAGAAACGCACGACTTTCCACGCAAAGCGACTCTTGTCCTACTATTCTTCCCCCCTGCCAAGGAACGTGCAATTTTTCTTTTGCAAAAGGATGCATGATTTTCATGCAAAGTGTGGTTTATTTCATTTTCACTTTTTACACAACAAATGAAAAACTGGAGTTAGTCTTTTGTTACGTCCTCGTCGTTGACTCTGGGTTCAGCTAAGAATAGAGAATACAAATCTTTTTTTAGGAGAACAAAGAAAAATATATCCCTAATTTTACTATTAATTCTTATATTACTGTATTTTGGTATGTTGATAATATAACAATAAAAATTTGTGATAAGATTATTTTTAATGTCAAATGTAAAAAAATTCAAAAAATCAGTTTTTAAAATTTAACTTTGAAAATGATCTTGTTGGTAATTATCATGATTAGATTTGTAATCAGCACAGCACAATACAGTAGTGCACCAATCGATAATCAGGTCCTTCAGGTTTTTGGAAATTTATCCAATCGTATTGAACTTACGGGTTATGGCATAAGTTAACATAGCCAGTATAAACTCTTCTCTTAATTAACATTACAGTGTAATTAAATGATGCACAAAGGATACTCACATGATTTGCATTTGATCATAATCAAAGTTTTGTGCGGAGTATATGAGATCAGGATTACTGCTGATGGGATATTTTTTAACGGAGCTGTATATATACAAATTCAACTGCGGTCGATCATTCAGGTATGATTCAAGACATGGTTTGTTATCCTCACAGGCTGGCGTCACAAATAGCAGTGATAGTGTGTAAATTGAATAAATGATATACGCCAGAAATATTTCGGAAAAAATAACACTGAGTGAAAGCCACTGCATTTCAGCTGATTTCGATGCGAATACCTCAAGAGATATCTGTGTGTATTACAAAAAATAGGCATTATATATATATTATAAAGAGATTCTTACATGCTTTGATTCTTATTCAATCAATAAGTGAAATATAGGCGAGTTTTTTAATTCATCGGTTGATCAATCAATGAATTAAAAAATTCGCCCTATGTGAATCAATAAGTGACATATGTTTACATGTGCCCAATTCATCCAGCCTATAGACCTCTACCAGTCTATAGCCCGGCAGGCTTAGCTATGCTTATTAGTCTTATTACTAGATGCTTTCCATTTGGTGTGACACAAGTTAACACAAACACTATTCTATCTTTCTTGACAATCAGAGAGTAACAAAACTAGGTAAAGGTATAGAATACCACAGTCACCTCAAATTTTGATAAAAATACACTTATTTGATGCGTTTTTGCACGAAAAGAACGAATCTGGCAAAAAAAATGTCGCTCTGCCCTCCGAATCGAGATATTAAGACTAATTCTACAATGTGCTTTTTGTTTCCTGTTTTTTGCTGTTTGTCTCTTGGCTTTTTGATCAAGAAGGCAAGAGACAAACAGCAAGAAACAAAAAGCACATTGTAGAATTAGCCTAAGCGTTAAAGTTAATGACTGTTGAGGTTCGGAAATCTGTCATACCGTCTACATATAGCGCTATGAATATGCTTCATGTTCTGTGACCTCTTAGGCATGCGTTTCACTATTTCGTACAATAAAGTTAAAATCAAATTAAAAAATGAATTAGTTACTCCTGCAATGTTTCTATTATACATAGTTCTATTTCAAATAAATAAGCCATGTGGACAGAGTAATGTGTGGACAGTAACTTAGGCTAATTCTACAATGTGCTTTTTGTTTCCTGTTTCTGGCTGTTTGTCTCTTGCCTTTTTGATCAAGAAGGCAAGAGAAAACAGAAAGAAATAGGAAACAAAAAGCACATTGTAGAATTAGCCTTAGGTTTAGGGGGCGGCTATGCCGCCTCAAACAAACAAAAATAACATTCTAACCGCTTGGGGCCTAACCAAGGACATAGAGAATGAACTGCGCGATCCGTGTGTCAAAATGGTCAACAAAAATGAGAGAGAGGGACCGTGGAAGACGGCCATCTCCCTCTCATTCTCTCTTCCATTACACCATGGAATGGAAAAAGATAGAGATGGCCGTCTTCCACGGATCCTCTCTCTCATTTTCGTCGACACATTTTGATACTACATAGATACGGGATCGCGCAGTCCATTCTCTATGTCTTTGGGCCTAACCACCTAGAAGTTACAGTTTAGACAGTGTCCGCTTGAAATATTCCTAATTCATGAAGACAGTGGGATGTGAGAACAGTCTTTACAGGCAGTAAAAACCCATTTGAAATTGGGAGTGTGAGGATACTATTTTTAATTCTGCGTAAGATTCAGATTTTCTTAAGTCTATATCGGTAATTATAATTTGGCTTTCTCGTACCTCAAAAATCAATTAAAAAATAGGCGCTTTATAAATACTACCCTCACACCTCCAATTCCAAATGGATTTTTACATCTTCTTTATTTTTAATGGCTGCCGCAGACAAACGCCCGCGATACGGTCAGTACCTGATCTTCTTCTTCTTCTTCTTAATTTAAGTGGTCCAGGTTCCGTTATAACCGGATTGACGTGGCCAGTCGTACCAAAAGGAAATTGTATGTGTCAAAAAGTAAATATGAAACCAAAGTGGGTGATGCAATGCCCGCCTGCGTCTACAACGTCGTCACGCAATAATACGCGTCAGGACGAACGAACGGGTCATCCAGATTCGCGAAGTAAACAAAATCAAAATTAAATGCAAAGGTCACAGTCAGCAATATCGGCATCATTTTGCAAAAAATATGTGATTGAAAGCACCCGAATCGAAACGCGTCCGTCGCGGTCGAGTGATCCTCCAGAAGTCAATGGGTTTTTAATGTCTCTAAAAAGATTGTTCTCACATTCCACTGTTTTCATGAGTTAGAAATATTCCAAGCGGACACTGTCTAGGCTGTAACTTATAGACGGCTAGGATTTTTTCTTGTTTGGAGCGACGTAGCCGCGCCGAACCTAAACTTTTGCTGTCTATACATCCCACTGTCCACATGGGTTATTATTTACTTGAAATAGAAGTATGTATAATAGAAACATTGCAGAAGTAACTAATTCATTTTTTAATTTGATTTTAAATTTTGTGCACTTTATTGTACGGAATAGCATATTCATAGCGCTACATGTAGTCGGTATGACAGATTTTTTAACCTCAACAGTCGTCAACTTTAACGCTTAATATTTCGGTTTGGAGGGTAAAGCGACACTCTTTTTTTTACCAGATTCGTTTGTTTCGTGCAAAAACGCGTCGAATGAGTGTCTTCTTATCAAAATTTGAGGTGAACGGGATATTCTATACCTTTACCTAAGAATTTTAACTTATCAGAAATCATGTACTGTGGAATACACACTGTTTATGTATTGAATGTGGAATGCAGCTTCTTCTTCTCAACAACCTCTTTTTTAACCCACTATGAAAGGTCACAGTATCACACGAGAAATTTGCAAGAAATATAATTTGCGAAGATTTTCCTCTCGAATTCTTCTTGTTTGTAATCAACCATTATGAGTTGATCGTCAACGTGACGAGACCATCCCGAAACCGGGAACTTTTCGCAGAAATAACAGCTGTCGACTCTCGCGCGCATGATATCATACTCGCACGTATGTGATGTGATCATGTGAGGAATAACCGAAAGAGGCTACTTTAGGATGCGGTCACTTGACGTTACAAATGCTTCATTTCAATCAAACTTTTGATTGATCAATCGAAAGAAAGAATTTTACTATATAATTGACCAATACAAAAATACTTCAAGACATTCGTAGCATCAAGTGGATCGCAGCCTAAAATCTATTTTACAATGACTGTAAGCTGTAAAAATTGACCAATCGTAATCGATTATTCTCCTCATATTCGATTACGATTGGTCAATTTTTATGGCTTACGGCATAAGTTAACAGATTACGGCCGGGATTCTCTAATTGTTTTATCGATGATTGTCGCTATCGTTAACTAGTGACAGCCAATGGCAGGACAATTCTAAAAGAAAGCGCGGCTCTCATTGGCTGTCGCTAGTTGACGATAGCGACAATCATCAATAAAACGTTTAGAGAATCCCGGCCCAGCATAACCCTTAAAGCCTATTCTACAATAGGCAGTGGGTGTTTTCCAACAACGTACACAGATGACACAGTGTAACACTGTGTCTTACACAAAGTGTTCCAACTGTGACACAGTGTTACACTGCTCGACACTGTAAAAAGCTAAGTACGAACGTGTAGAGTATGCCAGTGTTACCAATTAGAGCTCTATCGTTCCAACAAGTCTTTACACAGTGGAGCACAGTGTAACGTTTCTGTGTCCTAGCTGGAAAACAGCCAGTAGCAGTAGAAGGAGTAGGCGTAGAAATCGACCAATGATAATTATTCTCCTAATGGCCGCAGCACACACTTTTGCATGAAAGTGCCTTTTCACGAGCTGCTGAAACTGGCCGTTCCAGCGACAAAAAAGGTCACATGAAAAAAATTGAGGAATAGCAAGCGAATATGACGCTTTTGCGTAAAAGCATGGCTCTCATTGGCTATCGCTCTCCGCTTCACCGCTGCGCCGCTCTGGTCTGTAGGCTCCTTAAGGTCGGGTTCACACCTTGACGGAAAAACGGAAAGCGGAAGAGCAGTTAACCGATCAGAACTTGCGCTAGTAGTAAATAGTACAAAACTAACAGAAAGTCGACTACCTGATAGTTTTGTACTATTTACTACTAGCGCGAGTTCTGATCGGTTAACTGCTCTTCCGCTTTCCGTTTTTCCGTCAAGGTGTGAACCCGCCCTAAGACTCCATGTATGCGCGGTGAGCTGCGGCAAACGCATGCGGTGACCAATCAGGAGCCAGACGCATGCCGGATGTCAATTCTACAATGCCGTAAGCCGTAAAAATTGACCAATCGTAATTGAATATGAGGAGAATAATCGATTATGATTGGTCAATTTTTGTGGCTTACGGTCATTGTAGAATTGACCTAGTTTCCACCGAAACCCTCAATTCGGTTCCACTAAGGTATAGATCAAACTTGGTGTACTGTTTCCATTGGAAGTAGAATTGAAGTGAATTAATGTTAAAGTTTCATTAGGTCTGTTCGCGTTGCATGAAATCCCCAAATAATTTTGCACTTAAAGTGAGATAGATGTTATATTCGGCTTTAAAAAGAAAGAAAGCGAAGATGGTAAGTGCAAAAAGTGCAAGCAACACGAACAGACCTATTGTATGACCAAATATCACGCTTATTATCCATTTTTGAACGGCTTATACTTTTAACCTTTTAACGAATAATGGAAAGGTTGGCGATATTTACTTTTAATCTATTTCAGTCGTTTCCACCAACTAAAATTTAATGTCAATTCGCTGCCACTCTGGTAGAAGTTGTGGATCGAAGTGGAAGTGAAATGAGCAGAGTCAAACGTATTTCCATCGAGTTAAATTTGGTTCTACGCCGCATTAGGTGCGAATTAATGCTTCGGTGGAAACTAGACCATAGAGAATGGACTGCGCGACCGTGTGTCAAAATGGTCAACAAAAATGAGAGAGAGGGACCGTGGAAGACGGCCATCTCCCTCTCATTCTCTCTTCCATTACACCATGGAATGGAAAAAGATAGAGATGGCCGTCTTCCACGGATCCTCTCTCTCATTTTCGTCGACACATTTTGATACTACATAGATACGGGATCGCGCAGTCCATTCTCTATGTCTTTAAGCGCAACCGATGTTCCGCGTCCTGATTAGCTGACTGTCAGCCAATCATGACATTCATTCAGTGGTATTAAAAATGGCTGACTAATAGACGATTGGTGGATTTCATATTTCGTCTGCAAACGACGCCATTTTTAATACTTTTCTTAGTAATTTTGCGATACTGACTTAAGTCGGTTGCGCTTCTTTGATATCTAGGACTCTAGGTAGGATTAGGTAGGATTATTTTGGTACGAGCGTATCAAGCAGGAGTATCGTACTAAACTGATACGAGTATCAAATGATACAAATGGCAATGTAAACGCATGAAACATATTTAATACGTGTACCAATTCTTTCACGATGTAAACCAGGCCTATGTCAGTAAAACTGAATTTTGTTATCATTTTAGATGAAACTTTAAAAGCAAATGCGAACATAAAACAAGAGATTAATAATTTAATAATGCGCCAATAAATTAATTTTATAAGATAAAGTTTTTTAATGTTAATAAAAAGAAAGTTAGTGTGTTATTGTGTGTTTAAATAGTATTGTAGTATAATAAGCTCTTCTTTAAAGATGCAATATAAGTAAAAGATAAATTACTATTAGAAAATTTTTGGATTTAATATACACAGTTATAAAATAAAAAGCAGAGAAATTATTTTTTATGTTGAACGTTCGTTATTATATAATTAAAAAACGTTGCATAATATTGTTCCAAATATATTTGCGTTATACAATTAATTCATTATAGAGAATTTGAATTAAACATACACACTTATAATATATACGCGAATCAACGAAGAAAATAAATCAACTAATAAAAATTAATTAATCTAGAAAAACCGTAGGATTTTTACCTAGAATATTCTGGCCGGAATTATCCTTGAATTGATTAGTCATAGATATCGCTGGACACTCTAAGACTATATATGCTTAATCTTTGTAATATCTTTTTCAATTTGCTAGTCTGTACTAGTTGAATAAATTTGAATCTCGATATCGAACGACGTCGCGATAAAGATCGATAGAGTCCTGCGCAAAGTATCGCGCACGTTTTTTTCAGTTCTTTTCAAATCATCTCTCGATTCGAACCCTCGTGGTTGACCATTGAAGGCCAAAACTCAAAACCTCAATGCGAGCATTGCGAGCTGAGAAGCATACCCTAGCACACCCCTGCAAGGAAGCGCAAGCGATGAGTGTGCGCGTGACAAGCACGTCGCTCAAGCATGCAGCTCGAATAGAACGCGAGTTGTGGTGGTATGTGTCGCGCGGAGAAGCCGCAACAGAGTGCGTCTCCTTAGAGGAGTACACAGCTGGGCACTGGCACTGCTGTGGCACGGGGCATCATTGTCGCCAAGATGTAATAAGCTGTCAAGGCGCGGGGATGTCGCGCTAGACAGTTAGGAAGAGCGGCGGGCTCTGGCTGAGAGAGAAAGAAAGAGCGAGGGGAGTGTGGTGGGTAGGAAAGAGAGTAAACGGACGAAAGTGAGAGCGATAGAGCACAAGAGGAAAGAATCACAGGCCTACTGCTGGCATACACGATATCGAGGGTAGAAGCAGGGAGAATATACTGATGCAGAAACGGAGTAGCTTCGGTAGCTGAAAAAGGGCAAAAACGGGATCGATCGGTTGGCCCGCGATAGTTGTAGCAATGGAGGACATCAGACTAGGGTAAGTACTGCTATATTATTTCCGGTCTTGTTGAGCGAATCGCCGAGTCGCGCGACCGGGCACCACTATATACGTATAAACGTATATATGGGATATGCATATATCTATACATGCGTACGTGTGAGTGCGTGTGAGGAGAAGTGCGAGCGCACTCTTGCTGCGAGGTCGACGAGAGAAAGTAGGACGTCAGGGGTGGTTGGTCGACGCGGAGAGGGTGGTCGTGAGGGTGTCCCGCTTTTTCGACCTCGCCGCCGCCGCCGCCGCCGCTGCCAGAAATGCGAACGGAGCTAATGAGCTCCTCTCTTCGCCGAAGGCGGAGGCGAGAGAGCGATTGCTCTGCTTTGCGATGGCTCAACCTCGCGGGCTTGACCTCGACGGCACGGCACACGCGTCAATGAGTGTAGTAGCGAGAGATCGGCCAAGAAGACGTGAAAACGAACGGCGAAGGTCTGGCGCGGATATGCCCTTATAATGCCAGATAGTTGCCAATGGTGACTGCGGTGACAATGTGTGTCACCTGTTCCGACGAGAGCTTTTTCCAGTGAGTGTGACGTATAAAGTAACATTCGTGATTTCTGTAAGAACTCGCCAAGTGAATTGTCACGCTCGAGTCGATTCGCTGTTGCCACGCGATGCCAACGATTTTACATGTGTCTTTTGTGTTCTCCCCTCTATTTATTCATCCATCCATCTTGCTCCTGTATTCGTGAACTTGATAAGCATAAACATTATTTTTACACTCATCCGCGACTGACGTTACCAAACAAAATTAGACTCAATGCGTAAAAGATTTCGTTTCGAGCATTTTTTTTCTCTGAATGGAAAACTTATTGCCACTCGCGACTGTGACCGCGAGTCGTTAATCATATATGATTTTTCACGAAGAAAATATTTGTGTGAAGGAATTATTATATGTATTGTGTGTGAAAATGGGCAGTAGAAGGAAAATGTCTCGCGAGATTTTCATGTACTATTTAAAATCTTGCGCGATGCACGATTCTTATTATCGTTCCCTTTCAATCTTATATGTAATATTTTAAAGTTTCAATTTTATTATCTAAATTAAGGAGTATACATTGAGCTCGGAGCGATAGAGATACCATTTTATCGACCTTTTTCTAAAAGTTTAAATATAGATCTGTTTGAATATACGAAAGCAGCACATGTATACGACGTATATGTGAATTAAAGCGTATATGTGAAAGCACACGGGAAATAGAATTATTAGGCATTTTTAAGGCTAGTTTAGCATTAAACATTATGAATGGCTGCAGAGTTGATGTAATGAATTTGAGTAAAAAAAAAATGAAGAACTGATTGTGACGATTCTACATATAAGTTGCTGCTCACACATTTACATTATACTCGCATATTTCCCTTCCTTCGGTGATCCAGAGATGTCGCGAAGCGTTTAGTCTAATATCGAACCACCTTTTATAATCGATCATCAGTGCGACGTAGGAGTGATCGCATGTAATGTAATAAGGAGCATGGCCACATTTGTCAACGAATTGAAGTATGTATACTACTCATTGTCGGTACTATTAGCGTATGCTGGTGCACTCGCGATGCGCCTAGTCTTTGCCACGAAGAGATCAACTCGTCGTAGCAATCGCTGTAATTTCTTTCTCATGGCCAAAAGAGAGATTATCTTTGCCTGTCTATTACATATACATACACAACATTAGCAAATGAAGTTGTCAAAATTAAATTTGACTTCTGCGTTTATTGTTACGTGACTTTTTACTTTTATGACCAAGTTTACTGTTTGAGCGATTATATCAATACACGGAGGAAAAATCGATCTTGGAATATATAATTTTCTAACGCGTTCGACGAATCTTGTCTCTGTTTCAATGATGCAGTTTAATTATTATAGATCAACAATTAATCAATAAATGCTTTACAGCCATATTAAGATTATTACTACTAAATTTTACAGCATTTTATTTCACTTTTCTGTGAAATAAAGATCATATTTAAATGAGAGATGAAGATGGAAAGCTTAGATGCCTTTGTGACAAACTGCATATTATAAATAAATATCTTGGAAAGTTGTAATTACTGTACGCACGTTTTAGATGTACAATCTGTAGCTATGTCATTTGTGTAGAAAGATTACATGTACATCTTTCACAGGAGTATCATAAGGAAAATCTTAACGCGTAGACTCGCATTTGCGCTTCGAAGGCGATGCGCTATAAATAGAAAAGCCTTGTTAGCGACCTGTACCGCTACCTGCTGATGCATCAGGTACAACAGCTACGTTACGATTACATTATAAGATTATTTGAACCGTGAATGTACACGAATTTTCGACTTTGGATTCGTCGCGGATTCACTCATTCAACCGCAACACCTATTCTATCGTTTAATCTTATGCTTGATTTCGAACTGTGCAAAATTTCGACAGTTACAGTAAATTAAATTATTTGTTGCTTTTCTTTTAACTTATTATTGTTTAAATTATTTACTTATTATTATATATTATTTGTACATATATTTCTTTTTACATTTTTGAATCTTTCTCTAAGGTGATTTGATGTTACCTGCAGTAACATCAAATCACCTTACGTTATTTCTTCTCGAATGGAATTTCTGATTCCATGGTCAAACATCACATTTATACATATGTATGTACATGCATACGTGGTCAACGACTATTCAACTATTCACATTTTCGCCTAGAAAACTTGCTCTGAAGCTAGAGATCATGGATATCCTCGATTATCCACGATACATTTTTTTAGATATTACAAATCGAGTAAAATATAAAGATGTGAAAATTTTGCAAACAGCTTGTTTCGAATCTTGAATATTTTTCCGTCTTTCAAATACAAACTTTAAAGTACAAATAAGAGAGTTTAAGATAAATGAGTTACCTTCTTTGGATTTGAAAAGTTTGCTAGTACAAATACTATAAAGTCTCAAGCTCAAGTGTTCAAGGTAAAGAAAAATGTATTTTTTTTTACTTGACCTGAATGAAAACCAATTTATACTACAATTGCAGGTTCAAGTAAAAGAAATGTGCAATATGAATTTGAAATATTAATTTTCGGGTTTGTAAGAAGGAATCTTTCATTAAATTACGAAATCAATTGAAGAATGTTTGAATTTCTTCCTACTCTTTTTCTTGTTGTAGATATACGATAAATCTATCCTTATCCTGTGCGTTTTCTCAGATTTTCGTTGAATGTTTTTGTGTAAGAAATTGTACTATAGAAAAAATAATAACGGAGATAAATTGTGCGAAAATGCGATTGCTATATTTTAATTTTTTAGCTATATGTTAGATTGGTTTATTTGACAATCGCATCTTTTATGCTTTACACAATTCTGCAAGACAATTCGTTGAATAGTGTTGTAGTCGACTTTTAAAACAATTATCAGGAGTAGTTTATTCTTCTTAGGCACATTTTTACAAGATATGATTACCTTATAAAGATTTAAAGATTATCAAGAGATTTAGCAATGAAATTCATTCATGAATTTTCTGGTAACTTTTAATCTTTAGGTAACCACAGATTGGAAAAACAGGTCTTACAGAATGCGTTATTGGAAATAATATTTAAGTAACCTCATCTCCTCCGAATGTTTAACGCTACTCTAGCTATTTGTAGTATAGTTATGCACAAACATGACGTAATTTAGTAGGGACATTAATTTTCATATTATTTTACAATAAATACAAATTTACTCTTTTTTTTAAAGAGTTTCCTATTTTTTCTTTTTAATGCTATAAATAATATATATCATACAAAAAATTTTTAATACTATAATAAGTATAAAGTACGATTATTATAGTTTTAGATATTGATTAATTGCAGAGCAAGTTTGCAGTTTTTCAAGCTTTATCAAGCAAGAAATTGTGGCGAGAAGTGTCACACGATATATACCTGTTGGTGTTATTACATAATACTTTAGAACTGTCGTGTAACATAACGGCAAGAATGAGAGCATAATAACTGAGACGGCGATTACAACACGTGCTTTTTAGCTTCTATTCACGCTATCAAGATCGGAACAAGATCGTATTCGTATTTTCGTTTCGCGTAAAAACGTCAGCAAAAATATCAGATTTTGATTTTTTACATTTTTCAGTATCATCGTGGTCTGAGCGCTCAAAAATGGCGTCAGGTTTGCCGAATATTCATCAAAAGAAGCTTGGACCAGCGCCGATAGCATCTTTCGAAGACTTATCTGAGGAAGTGGAAAACGTGAGTTTCCTACCCTGAGCTTCTTCCTCTATTAAATTATCCAGCTCGAGATCGGTTTTCTTCCTCTTTTCCGCTTCATATCTCTCTCTCTCTCTCTCTCTCTCTCTCTCTCTCTCTGTGGTTCGTATTCATAGTTATAAATCGACTCGCGATTGATCCTCATTGCAGATGAGCTAGATTTGAACTAAAGTTTTGACACCCACACAATTGGATTTATTAAATAGTAGCTTGAAAAGTGTTTTTTAAATAAAAGACTAATTTAAACCTCGAATCGAATCTCACATTGAATCTCGATCCTCAACTTAAATCCCGATGTATGTATGCGATCTCGAGATTAATCTTCTCGATCGTCCGTGAGTTTTGTGAGTCACTGCGAGAAGCTGGCCCGCGACCTGAGCCCAACAACCAATCAACCAATCAACCCCGTGTGACTGTGCTACAACAAACCAGGAAACGAATTTGAATGCAGGGAGAATCGGCGGCGGCGGCAGCGGCGACAGCGGCGGCGGCGGTAGCGGCAGGGCGAATGCCGGGTATCGTTGAGGTCACCACGCCTGCAACGCCTGGCAGTTCGCTCAAGACACCTAGCACGCCGCGAATTGATATCAGTAGAGCAAGCAGTTCTTCGCATCATGAGGATAGTAATTCCAGGGACTCGTCACCTGAACGGGAGCTTCTCGCAGGTGATTACTTTTTTGTTAACTATTGTGTCGATCGCTTTACTTTCTTTTCAAGTTTTTTTTTTTATACCTTATACTCTCAACGATCTCGATTAGGGATGTAACGAAAGTGGTTATAGCGAAAGCAAATGCGAAAACGAAAGAAAAAAATTTTTTGCGAAAGCGAAAGATCTTTTTTTTCTAGTGAATGATTAAATCAGCCACAATTACAGACAGTCACGAAAAATAATATATAATATTTAAATAATATTGCTAATTCCTATTCAAATTATTGAATGATATTGGATTGAGAAAGATGAATGCAAATGTATAAATTAGTATTTGCATATGAACGACTTATTTATTTTAAACTAAATAATCAAATAAAATACAAAATACATTAATTATAATTATATAAAATAAAAATACAATAAAATATATTCTTATTCTTGAATCTTGTATTGCAACTTGTAAATACATAAAATAAACTGACTCATATAACTTTAAGTAAAATAACTCAATATACTTTTTATTAAGTCAACATAAAATAAAATTCTTCTAAGAATTAGTTATACTTTTATATTATATACTTAATAAGAATAAGTATTACGTATTAGCTTATTTAGATTGGCAAACCAACGAATGAAATGTAAACTGCTTTCCCACCATCTAATGTGCCCTCGGTGAAGCTGCGAATTCCACAGGCCGGACAAAATCTTTCGTTAAAACTTTCGCATAATTAAATGCGAAAGCAAAAACGAAAGTGAAAGTCTAAAATGATGCGAAAGCGAATATTCGTTACATCCCTAATCTCGATTGCACTGCGTGAAACTTTGGTAATATACGATATTCGCATAACATTAAGTGAAATAAATTTGATAAAGAAACTTATTTTAATCGATTTTGATAAATGGATATAAGCAGTATTTTATATAACTATGAGGTATAGTAAAGATCAGACACTATAATTTTTTTGAGATACCGATAGGAATAGTAAGCCATTAACGGTCAAGATAGATCTTGGAAGCTTCTAATATAATTTTCGTGTGAATTTATATACTACGTATGTAGATCTTTAAATGCGCGCCGAAATTTTTTTCAGACTTACAATGCAAACTAATAAACTACCGCAGTACTATCACGAATTAAATTGACTAACAATTTAACAATTTTGATGCACATTGCATCTTGGATCTTAATAATATGTTGAATGACATATTAAAAATCTGTAAATAATTTAATTACATTGCGAAAAATATTACCACGGCCGGGAGTCGAACCCGGATCGCTTGCTTTACACGCAAGTGTCCTAGACAATTAGACTACTGAAGCTAATATGATAAAAAATACTATGATAAAAAATATTTAATTATTAAATCTTATGAGACCGTACATGTGAGAAACACAACCAATAAGAAATCCCCTAATACAGTCGAGCTGGATCTTAGGTACTATTATAATTCCATTTGAATTTATATATTACATATGTAGTCTTTTAAACCGCGCGCTGAACAATTTTTCGGTCTTGAAACGCCATTCTACGAAACTATCGCAATAATATCACGAGTTAAATTATCTAGCAATTTAACAATGCTCATAGCATCTTAATAATGTTGAATGACATATTAAAATCTGTGAATGACATTAAAAATCTGTAAATAATTAATTTATATTGCGAAAAATATTACCCTCGGCCGGGAGTCAAACTCGGATCTCTTACATTCCGTGCAAGCTGTAATAAAATATTTTCATTAAGTACTTTTCTAGTTATAAGGCTTGCAAGTTACAACACCGCCAGCATTAGCACTCAAAGTGTATCACATGGAGATTGTCTGGTCGGATTTACACCTCTTTTATGTGTGTGCGTGCGTGCGGATGTGTGTGCACACACAGAAATAAGGATCTCAAGATTCGTCATTTTCCCGGTATTTTACGACCAAATCCTCTCTGCTCTGTGTGTGTCTGTAGAGGAGATGTGTGGGTGTGGGTAAGTATATACATGTGTGGTGTGTGTACATTTTTCAATTAAATGATATTTTTGTTTATTGTTATTTTTTGCAGGCATTTTAATGAAAATAAAATTCCTTTTAAATCGAATTAAATGTTCGAACACAGTCCATTGTTGTCGATACATAGTTGAATTCGACGTTGAAAACTGTCATCAGTAGATAGAAGAATATTTCTCGAAATTTTTCGGCAAACAATGATTATGCGTTCAATCATATTTTCCCTTGTTGTAGGCGCTTCAGCGTATATAATATTTTTCAAAAAACCTCATAAAAAGAAATCTTGACTTCTATTTTTTTTTTGGACTTAAATCCGGAATTTAGAACACCATGCTATAGGTCCACACAATACAAATGAGGTGTAACTCCGACCGGGTAACTATCGTTGATATACCTTAGATAATGCTAATGCCGGCGATGCTGTAACTTGCAGGTTTTATAACTCGAAAAGTACTTGTATCTTATAGTGTTTTGAAAAGATCTTATATGATTCCTATTTATATTATTATTGCGAAGAATATTACTAAGGCCTCGATAGTCTAATTGGCTAGGACAGTTGCGCGTAAAACAGGTACGTGATCCGGGTTCAACTCCTCTGGTCGAGGTAATATTTTTCGCAATGTAAATTAAATTATTTACAGATTTTTAAAATATGTCATTCATAGATTTTAATATGTCATTCAACATATTATAATATTAAGATCAAAGGTGCAATGTGCATCAAAATTGTTAGATTGTTAATTAATTTAACTCGTGGTGTTTATTATTGCGTTGTAAGTCTGAAAAAAAAGTTTCGGCGCGCATTTAGAGATTTATATACATAGTATATAAATTTACATGAAAATTATATTAGAAACTTCTAAGATCTAACTTGACCATTAATGGCTTATTCTCATCGGTATTTACCCTCTGATAGCAAAACCAATTACAATACCGTAGCCATCTGCGTCCGCATTTGGCTATGGATTTGGCGACAACATTTGCTGACATGTTTTGCAGCAGATTGGTGACAAAAACCGAGCAGAGTCTGCCGACATGATCTGACAGCAGATTGGTAGCAAAAACCGAACAGAGTCTGCTGACAATATTTGGTAATACAGATTCTGTCTACAATTTGTTGCCTTTCTGCAATCAAAAATTGTCAACAAACTCTGCTCGGTTTTTGCAACCAATCTTCTGTAAGACATGTCAACAGACGTTGTTAGCAGTTTAGCAGCAGTTTGCTGACAATACAGACTCTGTCTACAATTTGTTGCCAATCTGCAATAAAAAATTGTCAGCAAACTCTGCTCGGTTTTTGCAACCAATCTGCTGCAAAACATGTCAGCAAATGTTTTCGCCAAATCCATAGCCAAATACGGCCTTGAATGCCAAATACGGCCTTGAATGCGGACAGAGGAAGAAAAAGAAGAAGAAGGAGACGTTACTTAATTTTTCATTAAAATCATCACTTTTCGACCACTTGTATCTCCAGAACGGCTTCACCGGTTTAAAATTTTTTTGGCTCAAATTACTCGTGGCGACGTCGCCTTTCATATAACGCTCGATTCAAAATTTTTTTATATTTTAGTAGTTATGCTCTCCCGAAAAATGGACTTTGGTGGCTCGGGATAAGAGACTTGTAGTGTCTTTCAGTTTTTGAACATGGCCGGAGACACTACCGCGTCTCTTGATTAAGTCATTCGAGGATATACTTTGGACTTTGGAATTGTATAAATAATTAAATACATATAATTATTAGAGATGTAAAAGAATTCTTGCATGGTGTTGAGGTTAATGGTATGAAATGAATCGAAATATTTTAAATGCGTTTTTATAAATGCAATAGATTACAAATATGTACATTTAATTAATAAATTAATCTAAATAAACGCGGCAAGCGTTATAAATATATTTTATGTAAACTTATTCAATCTTCTACTACTTATCATTTTATCAATTTTTAAGTTTTTATTAATTGCGATGTTCAACATGGCATAGTTAACACACTGCAATGATACAGTAATCGAACATATGTACATATAATCCAAGGCGAATATATGTATATCCAAGGCGAATTAGCGTGATTAAATTAAGAATTTATTGAGCGCGTAAAAAACGAGCTTTGCATGCAGATTCTATATATTTTGAATTGTTTCTGAAAAAGAATTCCTCAGATGAAGGTTTTAATCAATTTAACTATTATAGAAGAGTTTAGTAACGATCAGTTTATACTGATTCTATCTCGATTATTTAGTGGATTTTTGTATGATATATGCTGCACAAATTACGTCATTAAAGCCTCGAATCTTCATCAAATTTCTCATTTGATCGTTATTACTGACACAATCTTCTTATCTATTCTGTGTAGTATTATACTTTCACTATTACGATTGAATTTTGACCAATACTAGTGTTAATTCTTTTCTTTATATCTCGCCAAATGTTGCTGCAAATTAAATGTACAAAAAAATTAAGTCTTACCCTCCTTTATGTGAGACGAGTCATGTATTTTACAATTAAAATACATGAAGCAATGAAATTGGGTCTCTCTTATATTATAGAATAAATTTTAAAATCCATTTAATATACTATGTACATGGAGATAGATCGAGACAGTGAAATTATGATAATTGACTTTAATTGAATAAAGATGATCTTTAATTGAATTTGAAAACTTATATGTTAGTGCGATATTAAATGTGTGATGTTAACATACTTCATAGCCTGATGGAACATTTGAGTAATATAACGATACACTTACATTCATACATTTTGTAAAAAAACGCGAGAAGACATAGACTTGTTAAATTGTTCAACTGTTATGGACGATCATATGGACGATTGGTGATATCAAATGCAATAAGGGAGAAATTGTTCGTAATATTTAAACGTTTGATTTCATCTACATAGACTTTAAGAGTTATTGGAGACTTTTTGAGGACGTCGTTTAAGAACGAAAAAGTTTAGAGATCTCGTGAATTTCTATAGGAACGGATCCTCCGTCCGGTTGCAAGCTGACTCTGGGTTATAAGGAAGACGCTCAAGATCTGAGGTCTTCTACGGAGGAGCTGGATTTACAGGATCCCGTCCACGAACAAGATCTTAAACGGGAGTCCAAAAGGCGAAAGCGAAAGGAGACTGATGGATCTCAATCGGATTATAGCGGCAAGCAGCTAGGTCAGGATCGTGAACGCAAGGACAGTAACTGCTCGGAGATATGTTTGCTCAACATCAGCGGTAGAACATCTAGATTATCGTCGGTTGGTAGTCAAGGCTCCGGCGTCTCGGGAAAGCTCTCGGTTATGTCAGCGACTTCCTCTAGGTAAAGAACGCATGATAATGAAGATGGAAATATGGCGCAAAATTTTGTTCTTTAAGAGAATAAAGCGGTGTTTTTTGAAAATTTTGTTCACTCATCCTAAGATCTATTATTAACTTTCTTTTATGTTTTGCAATTAAATTCTCTCTTATTACATTAATATATGCGCTAGAAATTGATTAAAGAATAAAGCTATCGCGTTACTTGTTATTTGGATTATTACTTATATTACACAAAGTTTAAAATTTTAAGTTCCTAGATTATTTTTCTTTGACCTTCTTAAAGATTTACTAATGGAAAATGAGAAAGGTGTTTTATTGAAGAAAATTATACAGCCTAATATATGAGAAAAATAAAACGTACGTTGTTGATAAATTTTTTTTAGATCTCCCAGTCCTCACAAGTGTCTACTAGAGACGTCGTTCTGCGGAAGCAAGCCGACATTGGTTGACAATCTGATAGAGCCGTCGAAACCGGAGACCGATGATCTCGAGAAAATACTCTTGAAACGGGAGGCCGATACAACGAAGGCATTGATTCCCGAGAGTATTAAAGTGCCTATGATAGGTGGTAATCTGAAGCCGGATCCATTGGATAAGCCCAGAAGACGCGGTCGTGAGGAGCGGAAGGAAATCTTCAAACGAGAAGTGGAAATTACTAAAAGATTTCTGGAGAAAGTTAATATAGAGGTTGGTTCTGTTTGTTAAGCTCTTGTTCTTCAGTTGCCTAATACATTTTATCGAAAAACATCGAGATAATACTTGTAAGCCTTCTCTCACAAATTACAATCTTTTTATATAAAAATTATATATTGTTTTATTATAATAGAACTTTTATTAAATTGAATTTTATCAAAAAATTCTATCAATGTTAACATAAGACATAGGCGCGTAATAGTACAAAGTATCATAAAACTTTTTTTTCCTTCTCTCTAATCTATTAATGTTACTAATCAAAATGTAAAGAAATCTCTTCTGAATATATGCTAAATTGAAAATATCGTTAAAATGTTCTCGAATAAGATGCAAATAAATATTTTTGCTTTCGAAAGCGAGACTAAAAGCTAAATATATATTATATCTTTTCTCGTACTGTGTGTGTGTATGTATGAGATAGGTTCCGATAATAAAAAAATCGGGCCAGCAACAAGGATCGACACTGCAACAACAGCATCAACAGCAATATCAATCAAAGATTCAAATACAAGATGTTCAAAAACCCGCGACACTCGATTTTAACGACAAAAGGAAAAAAGCTCAAAATTTTAAGGAGATTGTTCAGACGACGCCTACGACAAGTAGCCTTATCGGAAGTCCCAAATTGCCCAGACATCAAAAAGTTCGTGATTTGGAAGGCTCGCGAACACCCAGTCCATCATCCGTATCTAGAAAAAGTAGTTTTGCTTCATTATTTAAGGTATATGCATAATATCTACATAATATAAAAATTTGCAGTTTATTTGCAATTAAAAAAGAAAAGAGAAAAATTAATTGTAGATTATATTGCTGAAGTTTTAAAAATAAATTATGAAATGTATTCCATAATTTGGAAGTGATGTTTCTGAATTGTGCGTGCGCGCCTATGTGTGTGTGTGTGTTTGTAAAATAATCATTACGGTCTTTTTTAAATACATATTTTTATATTCAGAGGACGTTTTAGCATCTTTCTAAAACATTTCACAATTTTTATTTAGAATAGAATTTGATTTAAAAAAAGCGATAATAATATTTAATTTTCTATCAAGTTGCTGAATCATATCGTTGATCATTGTATTTATTATTAAACAGACTAGAGCCGACGGTAACGTATTGAGTCCAGAATCACCGTCACCTAGCACAAAACCACGACGAAGTCTGACGTCGAAATTAAAGGACACTACAGAGGGTTTGAGAAGTCGTTCGAAGTCACGCGAAAGAGTTTCCGTCGATAAGAGTTCTATCTTGAAAAAAGATTCGAAGAATAAAGGGGTGTTTTCGTCTACACTGAGCTTGTTTAAGAAACGCGAGAGGAAAAAGAGCTACGATGAGGCAATCGCGGCCTCGTGCGACCTCGAAGTCGCTAGTGGAGATGAACACCCATCTCTAGAGAGCATCGGTCACGTGGAGTTTACGTTCAACGTAAAGGAGGAAAAGGAAAAGAATCGTCAAGATGATTCGATCTTTATTAGTCTGCATGCCGATGACAGAAACTACGAAGAAGCCTTACCGTCAGAAAGTGTCTCGATACCGTTGGAAACACCGACCAAACTATTGGACGAATACGAGTCTGAGGGACCGCGTTCGGGTAGTATAATCACAGAGGTATCGATTGAGCACCATCCGTCGTCGATTGCCAAAATTAGGACTGAAGCGCGGATTGAAACGATTACAACACAGGTTACATCCAGAAGTTCGTCCAGAGATAGTCAGCTGTCGCAGAGCGAGTCAAAAGATTCGTATATATTAAAAAGTTCGTTGAGGGACTCGAAGATTAGCGGACAGGCTAATAAAATAGTCGGAACACCACCACCAGCCAAGTCATCGACTACGGTTAAACCAGATATTAAACTAGCGATTACATCGGAAGTTAAATCAACAGACTTTCGAATGTTGTCTAGTTTATTGAGAGAGTCTATCGGTAAAAAACCGGATATAACAAAGCCAAAGAGAAAAAGTAAAGAGAACCAGCAGCAGCAGCAACAACAGCAGCAGCAGCAGCAGCAGCAGCCAGAACTATCCGAGAGAATAAGCGACGATGTAGCACTACAACAGAAAAGAGTAAGCGCGGGAGAGTCTTCTCGAGCTGCTCAAGAAACTAAAAGATTCGATCATCTCGATGATAAGATCGGCAAGTCGTTGGAACAGGAAGGTTTAGTAAAAGCGCCCAGTGTGATATCCGATCTGGATCATAACAGCTCCGAATCCGAGAGAGATTCAGAGATTGAGTTTATTCGCAATAAGGTTGAGAAATTGACTGAGGAGCTACCAGACGAGCGAAAGGGTCTCTTCTACGAGGAGAGTTTTGAGGAGGATCTTCCATATATACCGACGACTCTGCCATTAGAAAAGAGCGTAGCTGTACCCATTCTACCGGTTAAACAACGACTTCAGGAAGTAAGGTAATTATTTTAAATAAAAATTTGGAAGTCTCACACACATGAACGATATATATTAGTGTTCCATTATGAAACTGACTAGTTTTATCAGCATGTTCAAATGGTCAGTCTAAGCTAATTAATTACTATACATCGTGGATTGATTCGGCTTTGTTCTCAAGATATGAAATAAAAATGCCAATGCACCAAAAATCATCCAAACACGTAAAATGTCCGGTTACTGCATTCCTACGAGAAATACGAGAAGATGTACGAGAACAGGCGATGACATTGCTAATGTAGTCACTGGAGCAACTGGGTCATGGTATCTTTACAGAGAGGTGAACAATTTAAATAATACTTGTGAATAACAGAACAATTTACCGAGTGTTGATAGTATGATTATAATATAAATAATGATAATATAGTATCATATCAATAAATCAAATAATTGTTACATGAAATCGAAGAGCTTTTCTTATGGGGCCTTGTATATATAAAATAAAATACTCATATCTTGGAAACGAAGAATCGACCTATTATGTATATGAACTTTTGCTTAAAGTAACTATTTAAAAATGTTAGCATAGCTTGTCAGTTTTGTAACGGAACAGCATGTATTATATATACATGATACTAACTTATGATTTACATTACGTTGATTGTTATCAGAACAATTCCAATCGAGAGACCGCGCTCAACGACCCCAATAAACCCGACCTTGTTGGATGAGTTTGTAATGCAGACATCGCTGGACGAGAGGCGGGTGGAGCGAATGAAAATATCTCTGCCACGAGAGGATAGCTTCAAATTGAAGAGTCCGCGCCGACAATACACTAGTACAGCAAATACGTTCACAGAATTTGCGGGCAAGGTGCCACCGGATGGCGGTCGCAAAGGCGTTACTAATCAAGGGAAATCACCTAGTCCACCTCCACTGCCACCGAGAGCATCAACAGCGGCAGCGGCGGCAGCAGCAACGGTAACAGCATCATCATCATCATCAGCAGCAGCAGCAACATCAACATCAGCGACAGCAGCAGCCCGGCTGAGCAACTGGATCAACTTCGAAGAGATACCGGAGAAGCGAAAAGCACCGAAACGGATACAGACGATACCGCGGCCAGAGGATGAGATCGCAAAAACTGTCAGCGGTGGTTACAACTACGTGCAACCGGAAGAGTGCAAGTGTGAGTGCCATGAGGAATCTAGGCGAGCGTCCATGCGGGAAGCAGCGGCGGTGGCAACGGTTACGACTGCCGCCGTCACTGCCACCGGCACCAGTACCAGAACTTCCTCTTGCAGCAGTAACGGCGAGCGACCGTGCAATGGCGAAAATTGTACGGCGCCAACTATTGGTGGTGGTAGCTCGGTCGATCGCGCCAGTATCGTCAGGTAAATTCAATCGGTTACCGATTGTCAAAGTGAACTAACCACGTGTCCAGTTCGGGACGATCCGCGAAGGCGCTAGTGACGAGTAGAAATCTGTTTCTGTACTTTCAGTGACAGTTCGCTGGAGTGTTCGCTGAGTCTCGACGATAGTCAGAGCACGCAGGTGCTTCTCGGCAACTCGACGAAACCCTTCGCAATGGATCTCGACGTGCGTTCCAATAGGTCGAGCATCATATCGCAGGAGGAAAACGACGAGAATCAGCACCAATAATGATATATAACAATTGTAATAGTAATACTCGCATAGAGCGCACTTACGCCTTAGAATCTTTGGATTTTTCTTTTCTATACGTATAAGGAAAGAATTAATCCGAGTTCTTCTGCGACGAGTTAAAGGACGATTCCGAAAGAAATGTACGCCATCGTCGCGTTCTCTCGTCGTATTTTTTTTTTCTATAAGAAAAGTTTCCAAAATACTTTTGGAAATCTTGAATAGTGACGGAATCGGTTCTCCACTTTTTGGTAGGTAGTAACAGGCGCGCGATAAAACTTCCGATAGTTGAAAGTATACATACATCGCTGCGCGCTCGTGTTTTCGAAATCGAATTTCGAAATGTCTTTTGTCTTCGGCGTCACGCAATTGTTTATCTGTACAACGTTGTATGCCAATCGGACCATTTTCATATAATCGGACCGCGTCAGATTTACACACTGTTATATACACTTTCGCAATAGTATTGTGTATCACTGCAATATATCGCGAGTTCTTTCTTTTCCTTTTTCTTTATTTTTCTTTATTTTTCTTTGGCGTTAGTCAAAGTCGCACTCACATCATGACTCATTACAACTTATTATATGACTTTCTTGCTTGAGAAGCTTATTTATATATCGTTGAAAGTTGAAACCACATGTAAGAGAATGAAATGTAGAGTATCGCGTATCACAAGTTTTTTTCCAAATATATATTTAAGAATTTTTGGAGAAAAACCGCAATTAGACGATAACCTTAATTATTTTAGGGTTTAAGGGTGCAGACATAAAATAGCAAAAATAATAAGGGATAACGATTTCAAACTATCAGTAACTGCGCATGTTCCGATGTATTCGATTTCTGGTTGGTTGAAATTCCTTATTTCTTCTGTATATTTATATTTCTGCATTCTTAAAGTTTGTCATACGCATACACGTACGCGATGATATTTTGTTAAAGAGAGACAAATATTTTGTTAGAGGCACCCAGGATGGTGGCTCGCTAATGTTTTTCTACTAATCTCTATACTAATTAATCACTAGTTTTCTCTGTTGAAAGAGAATTGTACCGCATCACGAAATGTCGGTGAAACACTCGGACGTTGCTCGTATCTCGTTCTCTTCCTTGAAAAAAGATATAAAAAGTAAAATATATGCGCGGCGCGCGCGCACACACACATACACACGCGCGCGCGCGCGCCGATGATGAGACGAAATTTCGCGATGTTCGAGTGAGCTTTTGAAGCTTATCATATCATGTAGATAGCATAGATTTATATAGACACATATATCTCCGTGGGCACGTTGATCTTTTGTATCGAAAATGAGAAGTTTATTCAATGTTGAACCGGGGGTACCGGTACGATCATTTATTGATCGATTGTTTTTTAAACGATAGCATTTACGAACGATTTAAAACGATTTTACGATTATCTATTGTAATGCCAGACAAGCATTTGCGAACGGTTCGGCTGCCGATATCGTAGGCATTATAGTTCCAACGATTAACGTCGCGCATAATTATGAATACTCGTCGTGGAACACTCATCGGAATGTTAAATGCACGCGAATCAATCTAACGTGTACTACGCATACACAGATTTTTCCAACTATCGCACTGTCTTGCAGAATACTCCTAATCGTTGGCGACTTATCTATTCACCACGATCTCTTTGCATTATCATTTTTAGATCTGGCTTGGCGAGCCATCATTCACTCGAATATGTTAATTTTTAAGGGAGTGATTTTTTGTCATTCTCTCTTGGTTGGAAATTTCAGAAAGTCGAGACGAGATGCATTTATTAATCGTGCGCGTTTCATAAGTCTAGCTCTCATACGATAGAGAGAAAGACAGTTCTATATTATCTACCTCCTTAAAAAAAAAAAAAGAAAAACAGAAAAATGTACCAAAGATAATCGAGTGTCTGTGGAGGGTTGTTACATTCACGCTTAGAAAATCAGCCCGATAACACAACTAGCTCGGTTTGATCTCTTTTCTCGCTGTAAGATCAATTTTTTGGAGAATGGAAAAGAAATGGCACGTATGTAATATTATAAAATATTTGTAAAATAAATATAATATATAAAATAGATCAAGACTTGCGATATTGAGGTAAACGAAACCTTATTTCTTAATGGTCCAATGTCCAATGGGTCGAAGATCTATGATAGAATGGAAATTATTAAAAGCGTTAACACGCGCGCGCGCACACGCGCACACACACACACACACGGGGTGGGCCATTTTAAATGATGCATTAAGATTTGTCGAAAATTAAGGTTTTTATTGCAAAATGTTTTTATTACAAAAATTTTGTAATTTCGAAGAGGACATAAGATTATACTATTACTACTATTAGTTTGATTTTTAACAATAGTTTGAAAATTATATTTTATTTTTTAAATAAATATTTCCATCTTTATTGTATAATTTTATAATCGAGGGCAAGGCATTTTTTAAACTCTAGTTACAATCTTTTTTATAATGGTAAATTTCTAAATTGAGTATTTAGAGTTTAAGTATTACTGGCATAGGCGCCGACTTATCAAAAATATTGAGGGGACCGAGAAAAAATGTCAAATGACCTTTATTATCTCCGGTCTTTTTTTTCCCAGTACTGACATTGTATTTACTTACATTTGGTTTGTTCGTCTTGCTTACATTTTTTACACTAAGCATCTTTGTTTTATTTCTCTTTGACGCTTGAAAAAATATATTTATCTCAATTTAAGTATAAAAGTGTAAACAAAACGAACAGATCTATTGCGATACTTCCATGACAGTGTATGTACTACCTCTACGTGCGCGGTCTTTCTATTCCCGTGCGAAGTTAGCACGCCGATTTTCAGTGCGGTTTATAAATTCATTTGCAATAGCATTTACTAGAGCTCTAGATTTACAAGAGTAGCGCAAACTGCCCGCCATTTTTTACCTATACAACACGGTGCGAAATATGAACGAGATATAGGCTGCCTTCACTATATGACAAGATCGACGAACGAAATCAGATTTTCCCGTTAGTATGCAGTGGAATTTTCTCTTTTATCTGCTGCGAAAAGCAGCCAACTGTGCAACACTACGGAGTTGGCTGCTTTTTTTAAAATTATTGTTTAAAAATATAAAATATATAAAATTAATTAAACGTTAATTTCAAATCGCGCGCGTTCCTAAAGCTGTCACTAAAGCTGTCACGAACATAGGTCTAAAATGGCGATTGAAAAAAGGAAGGGCGAAAATGCCAACAAAGGAATGCGCTACTTTTGTAAATCTAGTTACTAATTATCATTGTTTCTTCTACACATGTAAAATACTTAAAGAATTTAATCTTTGTTGCATCATAGAACTTCATATATACGTTAATAATCTCTTTAAAGAAAAAAATGAACGCTTGGCTGTACATGTACTCTTACAGGAATCGTTGACATTATTTTTACAAACTTCACCAACTCTGGCAATAAATTCGCTATATGTATAGCGAATCACATGGCGCGGTCGACTTTCTTACAGTGTTGATCACAGAAATTATTTGTGATTGTTAAAAAAATTATTGGAGGAGCTAAAATTGTGCTATGCCCTCCCCTCTCCCGTCGATGCCTATGACTACTATATTAAAGTGTCAAAATTTAAATGCCTCACCTTGTGTACATATCTGTGTATACTACATGCCCAAACAGAACAGATTACGATAATGTCACCAAAATGATATTATAATAAAATGAACCATAACTATTCAAAAAATAATTTTTAATAATAATTTTGAAGCTATTTCGTGATGTCATTTGATATCAAGTTAGCTTTGTATTCTGTTTGAGATATCATATATGTATACACGTATGAAAAACAGTTTAAATATAATTTAAAGATTACTCAAAAAAAGAGAAAATTTAATATTGATAAAAAATGTCTCGTTTGCCCTATTAGGATCAGACGTATGTGTCGTAACCTAGTAACCAAAACTATTTAAACTAAATTAATTAATTATAGCGAATTAATTAACTTAATTAGATTATATAATAATTCTTTGGTAACAAAAACTCCCATACAATTTAAAATTAACTTGAAAAGAAAAAGGGGCACTAGGAATTAGGCGCAGATAACTTTACGCAAACGCTGATATTTATCAAGCAAACTTATTTATTACAAAAATTATTCTTACATGTTTCGGCTCATTTTTTAGCCTTCTTCAGAGACAATGGAAAGTTACTTAAATAAAATATAATTTAAAATTGACAAAAGGATAAAAGATGTTTAAACACCGCAAGCTCCCCCACAACCGAGAAATAAAATCAGATGACAATTTCATCTTAAAGAACACAATAATATGCACGATAAAGGCAGAAAAGAAAAATTAATAAATGGAATGTTGAAATTCAGGGAAATAATTTCCCAGAATTTCTTAGAAAACTGATAATTTTGAAATTGGATTTATCATAATTACAATTATTTTACCGGGAGCGGGGAGGCTCACCATGTTCACAATAATACTATATCGCAAACACTCTCAAAACCGGTTTTCAGAGTAATTTAGGGCAGTTAGTCTCACAAGTAAATCTACCGAAGTGTAAATCTCCGATTTTGATGAAATTTGGATATGTTGTAAAACATGAAAAACTAAGAGATACGTATTTTTTTTTAGCGGCGGAAAAACATATTTAGGGGCTGTTTCACCCCCTAAATATGTTTTTCCGCCGCTAAAAAAAAATACGTATCTCTTAGTTTTTCATGGTTTACAACATATCCAAATTTCATCAAAATCGGAGATTTACACTTCGGTAGGTTTACTTGTCAGATATAGTGAGTCACAACCAATTGTTAGACGGTATTAAATTAAAATTATCAAATTACAGATATCAAGTGCTAACACTCAACCACTGTGCACAAGCGAGACTGACTAGACAGACGTGACAAACAACAACGCTATTTATATCTTGTCTATGATCGGGAAGTAGACCTTGGGAAGCCCCTCCATGTCTCCTAGTGCACCTTTTTCTTTCCAAGTTAATTTGACTTAATTAGAATGAAAATCAGTATACGTACGTAACTATAAGTATCTATTAGATACTTATAGTTACGTTATTGATGATCGACTGATTGCCTAATTTATAATAATTCAAAAACGATAATCATGTTTTTTATTTAACATTGAAAACCGAAAGTCTCATCTGTCTTATTTTGTGTGAGCTCTGTATATACTGAAGTAAGTCTTCCTTACCTCTTCCCTTTCCCGTCTCTAAGAAAACGTGTGATAAACACCTGTATCTACGGTGCTAGAACTCTGTCCGATTTCTCGGATCGAAAAACGTGTAGCCAATTGTTCTTTCGTAAAAACTACAACTGTTGATTAGTTATACATTTCTGGATCTAAGAATTTGAATCGAATTCTAGCACTGTGGACACAGAGCCATATAGGGTTTTTGTCTTTTCTGGCTCACTCTCGCAGTTTGGTCAACCTCATACATATTTTCATAGAGACGGAGAAGGAAAAGAATAGGAAAGGATGCCACTCCAGTATGATATAAGGTAAATGTACCGGTTATTGAATAGTTAAGGAATTGCACGACGAGATCATTTATTTAAACTTTAGAAACATTAAAATTTTAGTTTATTATACATGCTTATAGTAAGAATGGATGTTTTCTGAAACTAAATCCATTATCAAATACCTATGTATGTTATTTACGTTTATTATAAATTGTATTTAGTCATAAATATAATATGATTCAAATGTCCTAATTATTGGACAAAAAATGTGACGTGTCTTTGTGTCCACAAAAGTATGACCCAATTATTGGACAAATAATAAGCAATTTTCTTATTATAGAAGAGAATCGCATTTTACTTACTTATCAATCAAGATTGTTCAAAAAAGTTTATCGAAATTGTAATTAGTGAAGTTTTATATAAAGTTTTATATGTAATATATACAAAATATGTTTGCAGTAGACAGGTACGCTAAGGAATGTCCAATAATTGATACACGCATATGTGTGAATATCCTAATAAATGGACGATTGTCCATAAACGAAATTTTTTTTACAAAAGTATTTTTAATATGAATAAATTATATAATACTTAATTTCTAAATAATATGAAAAATTGCTTAAAAATTTATTTAGAGTAACACATATCATCAAAAGCTTAATTTTTGAAACCGTTAGTCCTAGCGCGTTGGGTATTAACAACTTTCTTCAGAACTCGTTGTGTGCTACCCAGAACTGACCACGGAACTGCCGTAATGATCAAAAAAATTTTTTTTTTATTTGTCGTACGAAAAATCATTATATCTGTTGAACCGATGGTCCTAGCGCTTCAAGCCTTAATAACTCGTTAGAACTCTCTGGGTGATAGAACTGGTCGTTAGAATTGTCGGAACTTTAAAAACATTTTTTGGTGTCTGAAATTTTTCGAAGTTGCAAAACCATTTGCGGACTTCTCTACTTCCGCAATTTTTTTGCTACCAAACTTTCATGACGCGTGCATGTGTTTGTATGTGTGCAAATGTACGTGTTATATCCTGCTCTTGGCGTTATCCAGAATCAACGACGTGGACGTGGCAGGTGTCTGATTCCATGTGTGTGTTTGTGTATGTTTTGTGCGTGTTTTGTGCGTATTTTGTGCGTGTTTTATGTTCATTGTGTGTGTAGGTTTATATGTGTGCGCGCGTGTAGAAATGGTCATGTTCAGCAGACTGAACTGTTGCGGAGCCGATCCGCTTCAGACACCAAAAAATGTTTTTAAAGTTCCGACAATTCTAACGACCAGTTCTATCACCCAGAGAGTTCTAACGAGTTATTAAGGCTTGAAGCGCTAGGACCATCGGTTCAACAGATATAATGATTTTTCGTACGACAAATAAAAAAAAAATTTTTTTGATCATTACGGCAGTTCCGTGGTCAGTTCTGGGTAGCAC